AATTTAATTTTGTATATATTTTTTTCTCTCATTTTTTTTTCTTCAATTGCGTTTTCATTAATACTCTACATATAATTTTCATAATTTACCTCATTTTTATTTTTTTTAATATTGTTAAATTTTCATTTAACAAAAATGGGGGGCGGTATATGTTCGGTATTTTATTAGTATTCATTTTATAAATTTAATTTCGCGCATAATTTTTTTTCTTCATAATAAATGTTCGCCCGCTACGCCATTGCGCCTCTGGCAGAAAACTACGACTCCGAGTGCGACTTCGATATAGTCCGCCGCAGACTCAACTGGTCATTTTCTGTATCGCGATATCCCAAGAAATTAAAAAAAATTTTATCCACGAGAAAGTGCAAGAACGTTCAAGGAGCTGACTTGGAAATAAGGTAGGCGAACATCCGCACTAATGCTTTTTGTTACTTTAATTTCAATTAACTTTTAATTTACCTAAATATTACTTCTTACTTTCTTAAACTAAATAAAACACCAGAACCAGCCTCAACGGATTTACAACCCATTTAAATTTAAATATAAAATGAAACATTAATTGGTGTTATAAATTATATTATTTTAAATGGAACACCCTATACAGTTATTCACCTCATTCAACACGGAGTATTGTAACCACACTATTAATTTTTACAAATCAAGAGACATGGGTTCACGGACTACTAAAGTTACAATTTAAAATTATTTTCAAGGTACGAAGTGTCCCAAATAAATTAAAAATCTCAAAGTTTTATTTTTTTAAATGGAACACCCTGTATATTATTACATTTTTAGTTTCTACAAATAAAATAAAAGTAATTTTAATTAAAGTTTTCCTCACTTACTTCAATCTTACCGTTTTTGAAATATTTACGATTTCTTGAAAACGCAGTAACAATTTTAATGCTTCATTTCTTTAGGCGTATTTAAGTTTTTAAAACCAAATATTGTACCGAAGTTTTTCTATTTTCTAAATTTCATGTTGGAATAATAAAAATAATACTACCTTATGCAGGGTGTCTAAATATTTATTTTAAATAATTACTAGCTTTAAACGGCTACAACTTATTTAATTTAAATGGAATTCCCTGTATATTTTACGTGAATCAGATGCACAATTTAATTGTCTATCAAATTATATTTGAAAAATATAATTTTATTAAAAACTCATTGGAATTTTATATGTAATAAGTTTGCATTAAATTAAAATCAGTATTTTTTTTTATTTTTAGTATAATATTGTATTAATATTTAGTTGAACAATAAAGGCATTTATTGTTATTATTTTTATTTAGTATAGCATAGGCTTTAGCCGAGTCTTATCGGCAGATTGAAGTACAACTCAATTATAACAACATTTTATTGCACAATTTAAGAGACTTTGATAGCCACGTTGTAAATTTTCGCTTTACGGATCGTAAAATCAAGTGCTTCTATAAGCAGTAAACTTATTATTATGTTTATTTTAGATTACACTATTAAGCTTTTATTGACAAAGAAAATAAATTTTAATTTATGACATTTTTCTGTTAATGGCATACGCGAAACAAATTTTAAACAGAAGTCCCAAATTAAATTGAATACAAGTAATAAGTTCTTTAATGGGAAGTAATATTCTTGTTCGAAATTAATTATAAATTGTTTGAAAATGCAGTCTAGAAAAGCAAATAGTTTTAAAAATGACTTTTTAGAGATAATTTAGGATGAGTTGAAATAATATAAATGTAAATGTTCAGTATTAGTTTTGTCGCCGATTTTTTATGATCGTTTTATATTTTTTTTGTTCTCACACCTTGTAAACCTCAAATATATGCATTCGAGTAATCGTGTGCACCTGCTGGTTTCATTCTGGATTCGAATATATTAGTAGCTTTCATTTCGAATTCAAATGTACGATTTTGAAATTCTAATTCATCTAGAAAACGAATTTATACTTTCTGAATATGAGATTCTCAATGATTTGTAAGAATGGGAGTACACGTTCCGACATTTTTGAATGACAGTTATATGTAAAAAATAGTGATGTGTATCTTTTAAGTTCTTATAGTCTAACGGATGGTTTTAGTTTATGAAATTTAAGTCGAGTACTTTGTATCTATTTGCGATCAGTTAATGGAGTTTTTCACGGTGCCCGGTGGCGTAGAGGTACAGCTCTCGTCTACCAATCTAAAGGTTGTGGGTTCGAATCCTACAGCCAGCAGTTCATCAGCCAACTATTTTTTATAAAAATAGGTACCTAGGTCAACTCAGCCTTTAAGTGAGTACTTGGGATTCACAATCCTGAGATAATAATAGGCGGTTCAAGCGTAGTGCTAGTCACATTACTTTCTTTGTATACCTGTACCGAATGGCTCTAGCATGGCAAGCTGTACCTTGCTACTCCCAAAGCGTTAAAAGCTATATACAGGGTGAGTTTCCTACGATGTTCTCTATGGGTATCTCGGAAACTACTGGAGAGGGAGAGAGTCCGTTAAATGGGGAAAGAATTGCAGTTTTGTGGGGTCATAAATATGCGCCTTTCAGATTTTTGCTTACGCGTTTGCTTACGCTTTTCTTCATTTGAAAAATTCATACAAGGAATCAAGGAATTCTCCAACGGTCTAAGACACTCGAAATAATTTCTCAGAACTTACTGAGAAATAAATGAATTGAGAAATAAGTGAATTTTTATTCTTACGAACATAGTATATGATGGGTGAGGAAAGTTAATCACCGCGACTTTATAGATCTATTGTGTCCTCCTATCTTGACTTATAAATCAACATACAGTCTTACGGCTGTGACGAAAGACGGTTTTACAGACGTTAGTTCTCCATCTCCGATATCAGTCGTATCAAAGTTGATACGGTGATGAGGTGTTCTGGTGTTTCCTCATTTTTCTACATAATCTGCATTCGTCGTTATTTCTTAGCTTGCTTCAATCTACTGAGGTATTCATTGAGGAGACAGTGTCCTGTTAAAAAACCGTAATAATTCGAAAATTCTTACGGGTTTTCGAATTACTTAATAACGAAGTTACTTGAAGTTAATCAAGGAAAATTTTTGATTCTTCTTGGTCGGAAATTATGAGAAATATCTTTGAGTGACTTAGACTGGGGGGTTAGTGGATTTCCATTCCAGGTTACGGATGAAGTCTTCCAGGTTCTTAATTCTGCTTTAAGTTAGTTTTCACTTGGAAAGCAGAACGGTTCTTGTCCAGTTAGTGGAGTGTTTACTCCTTTTCTAGTTAGATTGTTTGCTTTTTTATTACCTTCTATCACTTGGTGAGCAGACAACCAGAGTAGCAGGACTTTCTCTATTTTCTTTGCCTAATTTGTTCAGCCTTTTTAGTCATTTTTTGACCAACTTCAAATTGAAGTTTATTGAGTTGATTGCTCTTAAGGGTCTATCTAAGGTTAGGGCAAGACGAAACAGACGAAATACCAGTACAACGTGGAGTTCGTCAGGGATTTGTACTGTCTCCCTTATTGTTTAATATATACTCCGGATATATATTCGATAAGGCCCTACAAGATAAAGGCATTGGCATAAAAATAAATGACGTCCCAATTAACAACCTTAGGTATGCAAACGACGCGACACCGCGATTATCGCTGACAACCCTGAGGCTCTTCAAGAACTTCTAGAAGACATAGTTCGGGCGGGAGATCCTTTGGGCCTTAAAATAAACACGGAAAAAACCAAGATAATGGTCGTTAGTAGGAGAAATATTCCACCACCCAACATACGAGTATACGGACAATGCGTAGACACGGTAAATAAGTTCAAATGCCTGCGATCCTGGCTAACATCGGACCTTCACCCCGACTTAGAAGTTACATCGCGTATAGAACAAGCTAGATCAATATTTAACAAAATCAGAAACCTATTATGTAACCGATCACTCAACATCAACATACGTCTGCGTTTTGTCCATTGTTATGTATACTCAATCATCTTATACGGCTGTGAGACATGAACAATTAAAATGAACACAATGGGACGGTTGGAAGCTTTTGAAATGTGGATCTACAGAAGACTCTTGAAAATACCCTGGACAGATCATGTACGCAATGAAGAGGTTCTTGGGAGGCTTAACAAGGAAAGGGAATTAATTGCAAATATAAAAAAAACGAAAGACAGCATACCTGGTCCATGTCATGCGCAGTAGCAGAGCAAAGCTTCTGAAGTTGATTATAGAAGGAAAGGTAGAAGGCAGAAGAGGACTTGGGAGACGCAAGCACTCTTGGTTGAAAAACTTACGAGACTGGACTGGACTGAACTTACACGAACTGTTTCGAGCTGCACAGGATAGACAGTGTTTCGCCGCGATTGTTTATATTGGATTTAGGTTTGATTAAGGTTTGCAGAGGAAAGCATTTGCCATAAAATAGCGAACAATTTGTTACAAAATTACATAAATTATATATATCACTGTAATCACAAAACTTCAATCTATTTCCGTATTGTGATGGAATTTTAAATTATGTCTTTATTTTCGATAAAATTTAGTCCAAACATAAGAAATATTTTGTTGATGTTTGACCCTCAAAATCTTAAAAATAAATAAGTTGCCTAAAAATGTGCTACAATACGGATATAGCATAATCATTTATCTTTAATTTCCTTCTTCATTTGTGTAAAAATACCTAGCCAGTTTTACAAAAAACGTTAAATGCCGAACGCTTATTTTGCTACTTTTTCGGACTAGTGAAATGAACTCTTCAGGCTGCTTGACTATCGGATAAGTGGTCTATTTCTTGTTTCCGACTGTTCCTACTATTCCTATGTTCAATTTGAGAAAGTGATGATATTGTCAGTATATCTCTGATATTTTATGAGCACACTTTATATTATAATTACACTAGTAAATAAACTAAGAAAATTAAAAGTAGTTTTCGTCAATATCAAAGATAATAATGTTCGTTTATTTTTTCGATGGTAACACCCATTGGCAAGTTAAATGAAAAACACACAGAGCAGTAAAGAAAGGAAACAAAAAATAACAAAAAACCACCTACCGTAAGGCCTGCAAACGACACTTGAACGTAAGGATCGACCAGGTCGTTTAATTCGCCGGTGAAAGCCTTTTTCACGTTGGCCATTAGCGAGGAATTCATCTTGGGCAGTCCGTCTGCTCGATAAATTTTCACGATGAAGTGAGCTCTCTGCCTGTCGGTCGGTACTCCGTCGGGTAATAAAAGATTCCTGCAATAAAACCCAGTTTTAAGTTCAAGTTTACAGTTATCCGGAACTGCTTGCGGAATGGCAGTCGTTTCGGAGTAAAATTGACGGTGTCTTTGGAGATGTTTTTAATTAGTTTAGAGAAATAGAAAATTGTAGTATAGCCCGTTTAAGAATTATCCGGAATTTTAATGTTTCTCATTATTTTAATATACACTCAGATACAAAATTTGTTCGTTGCCTTATTTCATGATTTTTTTTAGCAGACTGTATATAAATATATCAATTTTAATTCGTAAACTCGGTTTAACTCGAACTTTAGTATTTAACTTATTATACAAGGTAGCGCACCTCATTCGCCTCGGTTGATTATACGAAAACGGAAAGATGAAACAAATTATTTTATAGGATATGTAGGGAGGCAATGAGCACAATTTAAAATTATTTTGAAATATACAGGGTATTTCTGAACTAAGATCCATACCAAAGTTATATTTTTTCTTATGGACCGCCCGGTATTTTATTTCATTTTTGGATTCTTGGACCCAAAAAAGGCATATGTTTTAGGTAAAATCTTTGGTTTTTGATATATTTAAAGATGTTTAAATATGCATGCTACAATAGAATAAATTATTAACACCCTGTACATTACTTTTCAGAATTAATTCTTGTGCTGAGTTTAAAGTTCGGGAAAAAAACTTTACTGAAAAATGTTATTGCTTCCTTAAATTTATACAGTGGTACAAAAATTACTGATGTATTTTAAAAATTCACTTTATATAAAAACTTATAACCTATACACCCTATATTTTTTTAAATAAATCGAAGCAGATTCAAATGAGCTTTCAAACTATATTAGGGTTTCCTATACCTATCTAGCTCAGATTTTGAATAAAAAGCGATTTTTCAATAAAATCGCAATCAAGATGGCTGGTGTCGCCATGGAAATTTTCTAGTGACATTTAGTAACTATTTTCAAAATCGACATTAGTTTACGGACATTATTATTTAGATTTATAACAGTTTACTTAAATTTACCTATAATAGTTTAATAAGTAAGTATTCATTATTTTATCAAGAAAAATAAAGCAGTGTCTGACAAATGAATATGTTACTAGTGATTTTAATTTGCGAGGAAAATTACTTCTTGTCCTCAAGGACTTATGCTCAAAGATATCCATCCAAATAGGAATATTTCTGAGAAGCATTCCTTTGCTTTTTCCTAACCTAACCTAACCAACTACTTGTCCTATTTCGCAGAGCTGGTAGTCTGGTTTATAAAAAAACTATTAGGTAGAAACCTGTCGTTGGAAGTGAAGAAAATGAATTTATTTTATAAAAAAATTTTCATATATCTACAAGTCTTCATAAAATAAATCATAGAACTGCTTCTTCATTTTTCTTGATAGAATAATAAATACATATTATTTATTAAACTATTATAGGTAAATTAAATAAAAGTAAACTGGTATAAATTTAAATAAAGTCCATAAACTAATTTATTTAAATAGCTACTAACTGTCACTAGGAACTTGCCATGACGACACTAGCCCTCTTGGTTACCATTTTATTTAAAAATTGCTCTTTATTTAAAATCTGAGCTAGATAGGTATATGAAACCCTAATATAGTATGAAAGAGCATTTAAATTTGCTTCGACTTATTTAAAAAATACGTAGTGTTGCATTTGAAATAACGAAGTTTTCATGTAAAATAAATATTTAAATAGACCAGCCATTTTTGATACCCCTTTATACATTTAAAAAAGCAATCAAATTTTTTAGTAAAGTTAATTTCTCGGGCTTGAAAGTCAGCACAAGAATTAATTCTGAAAAGTAATGTATAAGGTGTTGACAAAGTTTTTTATTATAGCATGCATATTTAAATATCTTTAAATATCTCAAAAATCAAAGTTTTTAGACATATTAAACCCTTATAATAAACGCCTTATTTTATGTCCAAGAATCCAAAAATTAAATAAACAATCAGGTGTTCCATAAGAAAAATATAACTTTGGTAGGAATCTTAATTCTGACACACCCTGTACATTTCAAAATAATTTTAAATTAAGCACGTTGCCTTCCCACATATGCCCATAAAATATTTTGTTTCTACGTCTTTCCGTTTTCGTATAATCAACCGAGGCGAATGAGGTGCGCCATCGCCACACTGTATAATTCTGTACTTACGCTTCTATATCATCTTCGTCTTTCTCACTCTTAGGAGGCACCTTCACCGTGTCCCCTTTCCCTATCACGCTAATGTCGCACTTTAAATATCCCTTAGGGCCGCCGGCTATATCATCCGGATCGGTGAGCAGCGCCCACTTGTGATAAAATTGATGATCTGTTCAAACAAACTTTATTAGTTAGTTAAACTCTAAACTCCATTTAGCGTGCACCGTGCAAACGAAGCCATTGTGCGAAAATTAGTGTTTCAATTGGTAAACACCAAGTGTAATTAATACTAGCATGCTAAATATTTGTATTAGGACGGCTAAAGCGGATAGCTGTTAAAGCACAAGCGGGTCGACGTAACGGTGTAATGCTCATTTTCATAATTGTGTCAAGTATGAAGTGCACTTTGTTGTTAAAGAAATTAGATAACAGATATTTTTTGTTTGGTGAATATTTTTAAGCTAATAAGCGAGAAAAGAATTATTATAAATGCATATTAATAATAAAAACATATAAATAAATTCAGCTATATATTTATTTATTTAAGATGTTAATTTTTTTTTTCAAACGTCACAAAACTATTAGTTTTTGCAACGTGATTGACAATATAAAATAGTCATTTTAACGCCTAGACATAACAGTAAAGCACTTTTACGCCTAAACATAAAAGCACGAAGATATATTATTAAACTAACATAAAGTGTCAAATTCAACGACGCGACGTAACCATAGTTTCTCGCTATACAGGGTAGTCTAAGTCATGCTTTCGGGAAATGATAGGGGACGTCGAAATATTAATTTTGATATAGCACACTATGGGTCGGAAATGCCTCTTACGCAAGATACAGGGTTTTAAAGTTTTTGAAAAATTAAAGATATTCTTTAATAGTTTTTTAACAGTTAGGTTAGGTTAGGTGGTTAAATATTTTTTTAATGAGAACCTTAAATATTCGAATTAATAGAATTACCTTAAAACTAAGAATTTTATTATTAACAATAAAAAAAAATTTAGTTTAAAAATTTATTTAAGGAGCTAATAGTAAAAAGTACCAAAGTTACCCAGGGTGTATTATTCTAACCTTGGCTTATTTAAATAGAGTCTGTGAAACGAATAAATTTAAATTTGACAGTTCCCGCGGGCTTTTCTAGTGTTAATTTTATTAGGTTAGCAACTTTCGGCCATGCCGACGCAATGCCGTCTCTAATAGAACAGCCTTGGAGCGAGATTTATGACGTCACGCTAGTTACATACTTCTTCTTCTTTACGTGCCGTCTCTTTCGTGGAGGTTGGCGATCACATTGGCAAAATCTTCACGATTCTCGGCTTTCCTTATAAGTTCTTCAAAAGTTAGGTGAGTCCAGTTTCTGATGTTTCTCAACCAAGATAGTTTCTTCCTGCCGAGACCTCTCTTCCCTTCAATCTTACCCTTAACTATCAATTGTAAGACGTGGTATTTTTCATTTCTCAATATATGCCCTAAGTATGATGTTTTTCTTATTTTTATTATATTGAGCAATTCTCTCTCTCTGCCTATTCTGTTGTAGACTTCGGTATTTGTGATATGGGCAGTCCATGGAATGTTAAGCATTCTTCGATATATCCATGTTTCGAACGATTCCAGGCGATTCATCTCTTGAACTTTCAGTGTCCATTGTATACTAGTTACATACTACAGATTAATATGTTGTAGAATACATGGAAAACATAATTATTCCTCGTATTTTTGGTTTGTATTTTAAATTGATATAGTTTACATGAAATATACATAATATACAGTTAATATAAATAAGTTAATATAAAAAATATATATACAGTTAATAAATAAAAACGCTATTAAGTTTTCATTTGGTTTTTTATTATTTTTTTTGGTTTAAAAAAAACGTTTCGGCTAACATTATAGCCTTAATCAGTGCTGTGTCATATAGTTTTTTTTTCATTTTACACCAACAAAAATAATGAAAAACCAAATGAAAACTTGTATTATTTGCAAATATAATTTTTCGAACATTGATACTTGCAAAATATACATATACATTTTGTGAATACAAATAATAATACACCACTATTAGAAGATATGGAATGTTTTTTTGTTAAATTAAATCGATTTTTAAATCAACATTTAAAATATATTTTACATTTTACCCATTATCTTATGTACCTGTGGAACATGCATATTAAGAACACTACCAGCAAAGCCATAAAGGCTCTCATGATATGCAGAAGACTGGCCGGAAATAGATGGGGCTGCTCCCCTAACATTTTGCGCTGGATGTATACCATGATTGTAAGACCCACGATTACTTATGGAGCAGTTGCCTGGTACACAAAACTAGAGCAACGGACGGCAAGGCTAAACCTATGCAAAGTCCAGAGACTAGCATGTGTTTGCATCACAGGAGCCATGAGAACCTGTCCAACAGCAGCAATAGAGGTCATTCTAGATCTAACACCACTGCACATTGTCATTGGTAGATATGCCAATGCGACAATTATTAGAATGGTCACTAACGGAATTAGTACTGGGAGAATTGTCAGATCAGGGCTTGGAACACCCTCAAAAGGAAATACCACTCCTGCAACTCCCAGTGGACGATATGCCAAGAACGTAAAACTTTGACAAACATGTCAATGTAGTATTGAGCAATAAGAAGGATTGGAAGAGCGAAACGCTTGCCCAGTAGTTAAAAGACCATACCATAACTTGGTATACTGATGCTTCCAAAACCAATACGGGAACAGGGATCGGAGTGTTTGGGCCGAGAGCTAATTACTCCGAACCAATGGGCACTTACCCTAGTATCCTACAGGCAGAAATCTACGCTATCGAGAGATGCGTACAACTTATCTTAGATAGGAACTATCGGAAACAAGAAATAGCCATCTTATCTGATAGTCAAGCAGCGTTAAAGGCGATCAACTCAGTCTCAATCAATTCGAAATTGGTCAAAGAATACATAGAGAAGCTGAATAAATTAGGCAAAGAAAACAAAGTCCTCCTACACTGGGTGCCTGCTCACCAAGGGATAAAAGGCAATGAAAAAGCAAATAATCTAGGTAGAAAAGGAGCGAACACTCCACTAACTGGACCAGAACCGTTCTGCTTTCCAAGTGGTAACCAACTCAAGGAGGAACTCAAGAACTTGGAAGATTCCATCCGCAACCTGGAATGGAAATCTTGCAATGGTCTAGGACACTCGAAGAAGTTTCTGAGGGCTTATGATCAATAAAAATCACAGATCTTCCTAGGTCTGAGTAAGAACAATCTTCGGATTGTCACGGGGTTTTAACAGGACACTGTCTCCTCAATGAACACCTCAGTAGATTGAAACCAAGAAGAAACGGCGAATGCAGATTCGGTGGGGAAGATGGTGAAACACCAGTACACCTCATCACTGAGTGCGCCGAGACGACAACCATTCGTGCCATGAATTTTGGTACGACTGATATTGGAGATGGAGAACTACCCTTTATAAAACCGTCCCAGATACTGGCTTTTGTCAAAGCCCTGGGACTGTATGATGAGTTATGATTCAAGAAAGGGGGACACAATGGATCTGTAAGGTCGAAGTGATTAACCCCCCTCCCACTCATTCTAAATTCTAATTCTAAATCTTATGTACCTATTCATTATTTTTCTATTGTAAAACATTTGCTGCATTTGTATGGTTCATAGTTTATTTGCCAAGGTATTTATTACTATAAATAGGTATATAATATATTGTATTTATTAACTGTATATTATGTATATTTCATGTAAACTACATAATTTTTAAAATACAAACCAAAAACACGAGGAATAATTATGTTTTCCATGTATTCTACAACATATTAATCTATAGTATGTAACTAGTATACAATGGACACTGAAAGTTCAAGAGATGAATCGCCTCGAAAGATGGATATATCGTAGAATGCTTAACATTCCATGGACAGCCCATTTCACAAATACCGAAGTCTACAACAGAATAGGCAGAGAGAGAGAATTGCTCAATATAATAAAAATAAGAAAAACATCATACTTAGGGCATATATTGAGAAATGAAAAATACCACGTCTTACAATTGATAGTTAAGGGTAAGATTGAAGGAAAGAGAGGTCTCGGCAGGAAGAAACTATCTTGGTTGAGAAACATCAGAAACTGGACTCACCTAACTTTTGAAGAACTTATAAGGAAAGCCGAGAATCGTGAAGATGTGATCGCCAACCTCCACGAAAGAGACAGCACGTAAAGAAGAAGAAGTATGTAACTAGCGTGACGTCATAAATCTCGCTCCAAGGCTGTTCTATTAGAGACGGTATTGCGTCAGCATGGCCGCAAGTTGTTAATTATAAAATTAAGTATCTGAGTAGTCTTATAACAAAAATAAACATGTTTTCAAAGTTAAGTAGTTTCTGTTCAGGCAAAATTGTTGACAAGTAAAGTTCAACTAAAGCCCCATATTCACTATGGGCTGATGTGTCAATTTGATGTGTCGAGGCATCCATGCACGTATAGTGAGAATGATACTGTTTGTCGATGTGATGCGTCAATGCAGTTCATTAGGGCTCAATGTTTCATACAAATGTTTGGGAAAAAATCTAAAGGTGCGTACAGCCATGATGACCCGAAGTGTAGATGGCTCTCGTGAGACAACCCACGGAATCTCGTTGTTATCGTCCTCTGTCGGTTTTTCGACGGCCGATCAAAGAAATCTCGCGACACAGTCTGGGTGTGTTTGTGGTAGCTCGACTGCGAGATATCAATGCATATCTATACATAGATTAGATTAAGAATATACATAGCTTGTTTGATTCGTGGCAGGCGTCTCTCAAAAAAATTATGGAAGCAGTCTCGCGCTCCTTGAGCGCTCGTTTCATCAGATCTGTAGGCACCTTAAGAAGGCAAAATATTGAACTTTTCTCTTTTAAACTACCGAATGGAACTAAGGATTCACAATTTCTAAGAGAGAAATTGCCAGTTTTGTTAAAGGAACCATCATGCTGAAATGGCCTTGGTTGAGGGTGTCATTTAAAAATATATCAATAACTTTATTTAATAATGGAAAATAAATTTCTTGCAGTTTTTAGGTATATAATAAAATTATATAAGAGTTTCTTGCATTGAACTGCTAATATAGAAATTAATTCCACGCTGTGTTCGACATAATGTGGATCAACCTGCTCTCACT